TGAAGAGAAGGAGGATTGACGAAAATTGTCAGATACGGATCGATCTAAAGAATTTCGGAATCGAAGATTCGACGGGAAGGAGATACGATTGTTTTCCGTAGCTCGTCAATTCGCAGAACTTTATACGTACTGATTCTTTTCTCAACTTTTCAATCCCGAAGTTCTTCAAATCGATACGTATTTAATCCTCTTCTTACTTCTTCCACCGTCGCAAGGTATGAACGCGGCCTAGAGTGGATTATGATACCGTGCAAGGGGGCATTTAGGGTGGCGGTCAGCGTTTGCCTTTCTTAGGTCAGAAAGATAAGATCCATCAGATCGTGGAGGTCATCTTTCGAGGGTCAGCCAAATGTTTCCCTGGAATCTGATTGAGATATGGTATCGATCACTAGAAAATGAGCAGTGGAACGTTCTAGTGAGATCGAATTCATTGGGAATGGTCCACCTCCAAACAACGTTCCTAGTGGGAATTTCTTCAGGAGCTCAAAGGAAATGTTTACCTCACGTATCGCTCTTCGAAATTACAGGAATTTTAAGGTATTCAAGGCAAAGTTTAGAGAAGAAATATATACGTTTTGAAACGATATCTCAGCTTGAACGGTTCGGGGCGGGGGATGTGCTTTGGTTGCGCGCGTTTGCTAACTTGAGCCTGAAGGTCTTGAAGGAGCATCCTTCAAGTGAGAGAGAAAGCGTAGACAGTCAGAGCCGTCGTCCCTCTAACGTTGCAAACTGGCCCCCTCTGAGTGCGCTACTGCAAAAGCAGGCTCGGTTAAAGTGTGCTGATTACTGTCCCCAAGTTCACATTCCTTTAGTGACGTATATTTTTCGTCTTCGGTAAGTGGTGAGCATTTTATTGAGGGCTTACATTCCAGCGGATGTTTCGTCACGCCATGATGCCGCTGCATTTCATAAGTGAGTTGGAAATTAATTAGGTCATGTGTCCACGGGTACAACTTAGAATATAATCAGCTGTCAGCTAGGGAAGTAGAAATTCACACGAGATCACGTTTGTTTTGTGGTCCTTCGTGCGTCACTAGGTTCGGTCGTCGTGATTTCAGCTGTCACTGCTACTGGTAACAGTGATAGAGTTCGTGGATATCAAAGAATGGAAATGGGCATTTCGTTGGAAGTGCATAAGACTGCTCTCAGACCTCGCGACACTAGAGGACTGGAGGGTGTGTGAAAAGCAAATCACGATACGAACATTTGCAAAATCCGCGAAAAAGGTTATACACATATCGATTGTCTCCGCCCGGAAGGGAAGCGGAGTCCGAACGATATGTGTCCAAGCATTTCCGCGGGTTATGCGACTCTTCGGGTCGATTAGTACGCTTCATTTTAGTAGATACTCCGATTCCACGATGTCGTAGTGTGAGAGTGTTCACTGAAGAAGATAGTCTTACCAAGCAAAGCAAAAAGCAGCGTTCATACTTTACGTCAGCGTTTCGAGCGACGGAAAAGAATAGGTATCGATCCAGCGCACAGCACCGTTCCTCGCGGGTAGCTTCGGATCTTGGCGGGCAGTCGGTACGCTTATAATGCCAGATCGATGTCTATACTTTCCTTGTCGCTCAAAATGCTGACGCAGGGGATGAACGCAGCTTAACAACAATTGCTAAGAGCGGGGAAAATTTGATTTTTATTTTTGGTTAGCTTCGTACTATCGATTTTCTGTTTTTACAGCGCCTTGACATACATATGAGTGGTTCTAATCGATTCATACCACTCCTTATACCATGCGATCAGTTCTCTATAAACCGGCTTCGGAGACTGATCGATTGCGTAATCCAGGTGATAGGGCGGATTAGACTCTGTACTGTATTATTTTGTCATTATTTCGATCATTTCTCAGAAGGTGAACTATAGGGGCGTGCGTGTTCTTTGCTCACTGTAATGATTGAGGCAAATCCTTCCTTGTTCGTACTCGTGAACCGACGTCAAGCCCCGCACTAAATCATGCGTCTCACGTGACGTTAGTAGGGGTGCGCGTGCACTCAGCTGGCCCGCCCATTCAGCGCCAGCCCGCCGACAGTGCCGTCGCCCCTCCCAGCCAGCGCTCTACGTGTGTACTCGCCTACCGCTAGCCTACTATCCACGTCGATACCGCGTCTCGCGAGGGATTTCGTCTTTGTTCATCCGTGTAGTTATCCGCTAGGCCGCAGTCATTCAGCGTCCTACAAGTCTGTCATATCGCTCCGGAAGGTTTATTCTTTTAGTCGAATGCCTTTCTACGGATCATTTTTATTTTTTTTTGTCAATTGTCTGATGAGCGAATGAGTTCGTTGTGTCTTTCGCCGACGCTATTTGCTTCAGAGGTGGGAGGGGGGCTTAGTCTGCTCTTTGTCGTCATCGCTCTAACAAATAGCCTGTAATTTTCGAGGGTGGATGGATCTTTGAGGCATGTGAGCCGCTTATCATGATGATGTGCGAAATGGTTCGCCTATCCCGTCGATGCCTCCACCCACTGCTTTCTATAGCGCTGACGAACTTCTGCAGATTAGCTCTCCCCTCCCCCCTTCGAGGCGAGCACACAGCCCTCTATCGGGATAATTAGAGAAAGCAGATCATATGCACTGCATTTCTACGTCCTATTTCTGTATTCGCCTGACGACCACCACGAGTGAGGCATCTGCTGAACCTGTGTAATAAGATGTAACAAAGGGTGGTTAAGCAGACAGTAGTCGATGACGTCACTTTTTTCAAAGCGAAAATATTCTATTGTTTCCATGTTAGAGACACATTCCGCTTGCTTCTTGGGTAGAATCCATTCGTCGTAGGTGTGAGGAAACGTCTTAGTTTGTAGTTTGGTCCTCAGTCCCAGAGGTTGTTCAGTTTTTGTGGCTGGGCCCTTGTAGCCGTCATTAGCAAAAGGAACACTACATCGTAGGAGTTGCTCCACTCCCTCAGAACTCCCATTTAAGGTCGTGGAGAAGAGCTTGAAACTGCATGTCGTAGAGACTCGTGCGAGGACCACAGGAGTTTGGTTCATTTTCACTACGCGCTGCTGGGAATCTCAGGAAGTCGCGAAAAAGTCATAAGAGTTCAGGGGAACTTGTTGAAAGAAAGGACTTTTTCTGGGTAAAAAATCCGGGCCTTTATGGAAGCGTTCTTCTTGGAAGTTAAAAAAGTCCAACTTATACAAATAGAAGAAAATAGATTGTAGAATTTTGTCGCGTAAGAGATTTAAACCACCAGCCTTTTGATCAGTCTTTTTTCGGTCTTCCCAGCAGTACCAACCGAGCATGGATATGTAACATTCAAAAAACCGTTCTGAAAACGGGTTCCACGTTCTGAAAGATCCCCTCCCTTGTCGATATGCTAGCGATCATATCTGACTAGAAGTCTTTCAGGTCGTGGAGCGTGTAAATACTGATATGAAGCGTTGCGTTCATTCCGGTGTGGGACCGTATGATATCTACCTCGTCCTCACTGATATTCCTGTTTCATCATCTTTTTCTGTGGTCTCTCGCTCGCGTGCGAGTGTCTTGCTTCATGGTCGTCGAATGCACGGACCTTATCTAGAACGTTAGGGCGATAATTCTGCCGGTTTTTCCTCTAGCTGGTAAGTTAATATTTACGAATTCATATCTGAATTCGACTGGCCATGAGTTGTAGTGCGGAATGTGTCTTTAAGTCCAGTCAGGTTGTCATGACTTCCTTCTACTACACGCCTGAGGGGACCTGATGGTTTTCGATCAGATTCATTCTAGTGTAGTAGAAATGAAAGTCAGGTGTTTTATGAGCTCTGATGTTCGGTTTTCATTGCTACACAAAAATTTTCCGAGTAAATCTCAATGTGTATAAGCAAGAACTGTGGTTTATTAGAGAAGGAATTGTTCATTGCGGTTTACGTCAGCAGTATGTTAAATTTTGTTACGGCGATGTGTCAGGTGGAATGCTGCGATCCACGGAACGCTTCTGTTTGCACGCGGCATACACCCTATTCTGTTGGTTTGATGAGAACGAAGATCGAGGACTAGGCTGCTCTATTTATCTGATAGATTGAGGTCGTGGCAGGGTCTCAGAATAAGAGTGATGGAAAAATAGGGTTATGGAGACCCCGGCATGGCGCAGGGCTTACGCTAGGGTTGAAGGGCTAAAACGAAAACCAGTTGTTGGGCCCAAGTACTATGGTCTGTGGTACCCCGGAATTTACATCTACGTTCAAGGGAGGGTCTCAAAGATGGGTTACAGGGCCTCGGTCAACGAGGTGTTCTCCTTACGAAGGTTCGAATGGTCATTGCATCTTCTGGCCGAGTATCTGATGGGAATAAATTAACGAAGAGGGAAGGAAGGGATGAGAAGAATGAAGGAGGAGGGAGGTTTTCGGGCTGACAGATATCCTGGGACGAAAAATAGTCGCACTTCATTTATGTGGTGAATGTATCTCTAAGCTGAGTTCACCT